TATTTCGCCATACAAAAAACCTACCAGCATACATTCTTGTACACTTATCTACAAGAGCGAATGTATATATGACTACAAAATAGCAATTATAAAAAATCTAATACATCGTTCAAAAACTAATTAATCTACAAAACAGATTTTTTTTACAGTGAACTAAAGAATATAAAACAGACACTTATTAATAATAGCTTTCCAAACTATATAGTTGATGAACAAATAAGATGCTTTCTTAGAAATCTCAATACTAAGCAAATAGTACATAATTCTGCTTCTACTAATCTCAAACATATTAATCTCCTATATCGTAATCAAATGCATACTAATTATAAACAAGATGAAAATATACTAAAAAAATTAGTAAATACTAATATATCTACTACAGATCCTAGCAAAAAAATTAAGTTAATCATATACTACACTAAATCTGGTATATCCAACTTAACTATCATTCTTCCCCCCTCCCTGTTAGGGATTTGCAAAAAACCAACATAATTTACAAATTCAAGTGCCTTTTGGGAGATTGTATCTCCAATGGATTAAATAATATTTATGTTGGTTACACCACAAACTCGCTTTCACGGCGCTTAACTCTACATTTAAGTGATAACTCTAACATTTTTAGATATTTAAAACATGCCTGCCCGCGTACTCAATTTCGGAAAATCCTTGTTGACAATACAACTATACTTAAACATGAAAACAATAAACAAAAATTAAAAATTCTTGAAGCTATATACATAAAACAGTTGAAACCTAACCTGAAAAAAAAAAAAAAAAAAAATGAAATCTCCACAAATATTCTTAAATGCCTATAATTTATAACAGAAGCCATTGGTTTATACCAACAGCTTCCTATACTTAATATTTCTCGTTTTTCACCCTCGCGTGTTCATGTGTGACGTCACGAGCTGCGATGCGATTTTCGCTTCCGCGTCTCGTATATACGAGTTTGTCGTTACTTTGAATTTTTTCAAGCAGCAAGGGCGGACTATCATTGTTGCTTCGTCTGTGTGTTGTTTGATTTATTGTAATTGTCATCTTTGATAATGGCTTATGTAAGCCGAAAGCTTAGATTGGATTTAAACATATATCAATATGGTGTTTTCCTTTCGTCTTTCAACGATAATGTGATTAAGGCTTATCAGACAATATGAAAGGAACTTAAAATAAATAAACAAAACTTGCCTATATTATTTAATGAAACATGCATGAATATATATATATATATATATATATATATATATATATATATATATATATATGTGTGTGTGTGTGTGTGTGTGTGTGTGTGTGTGTGTGTGTGTGTGTGTATATATATATATATATATATATATATATATATATATATTTATATACATTATTTATATATTATATATGCGCGGTACTTATTGGAAAGTGCTCAATATCAGCGATAGAGCTAACATATTTAGTTGCGTTGATGTGAGTTTATGACCCGGGGTTTCACGCTTTTGCGATCGTCAGATTAAAAGGGGCGGGGGCATGAAGTCAGGAATTAAAAATAGACTGGATTAACCAATTAAATGTCGACACATAGACATGGCATCATTAACGATTGGGGAGAATATGACAGCGACTTTAACTTTAGGAAAGGAGGAAACAATTTGTTAGTAAATTTCCCTAAGAAATCATTTTATAACCAGTTACTTACCATCGCCTGAGGAAGTACAATCATGGTATTGAAACGTGAAAGCCTTTGTGTATCGAATTGAAAATGCTTTTATTATAATATATATATATATATATATATGTTTATACGCTCTTTTTATAGATACAAATATTTAAGTAAATGCTCTGTTTTATAATAAACAGTATTAAACAACATTTACCGGCCTAAGTAGAAAATTTTCGTCCTCCCACAGGAATCGAACCTGTATCCTATACGGAACCGTCATATAGCCTGACGTGCCTTTAACCGTTTCGGCCACAGCGTTCGATTAGCTAGGTCGCATTTACTGTCTTTAAACTTCAATGTTCTATGAATCTATCACGTGCATTCATATCTGCTCATGGCGTATCAAATGTAAACAAATGACGTCACACATTATGAAATGGACAAAGTCCGACAATTATTTTAAGACATTTTTATGTTTATACATTCTTTTTATAGATACAAATATTTAAGTAAATGCTTTGTTTTATAACTTGATACGCCATGAGTATTGAACATGGGTGTTGAAAAAACACAAATGTGTTTGAGCGAGTGTCTGCAATAGGGATTTGTTAGCCACCCTAGTAGACGTGTATCCTCGAATTTTATGTACAGTGGGCTATGATAAGTTTTTAGCTACCTTTGATTACAGCAATTTTGGCTTGTGTAATAACGTATGTTTTTGCAGACTATACCATGTTAGTATCAAGCTACTCTCATCTATGAACGATACTTGACTTATATTTTGCAATGAAAGATCGTGGAAGTAAGGAAATTTGTGAATTTCAACAAGGGCAAATAATGGGATGGCATCGGTGTGGCAAGGCAAATAGAGAAATTACTAGGTTTTTGCAGGTTAATCATCAAACAGTTAATAATATTGTCAAGAAATTTAATGAAGAAGACCATTGTTGTGTGGGACAACGTTCAGAAGGACAAAGTGTCTGAGCGAACGAAAAGGGCGCTGAATAGGGAAGTCATCAGAAACCGTCGTCAGAGCGTCAAAGATGTCGTCAACAGCATCGAAATGTCGCCATATGCGGTGAGAAAGACTCTGAAAGAGCTTGACTATCAAAGAAAAGTTGCAAGAAAGAAGCCCTTTAATTCAGAGGTTAACAGGAACAGGCGTATGGACTATGCGAGAGAATTGAGAGCAAAGATTATGAATTATGGCGGTCTGTAATTTGGTCAGATGAAAGTAAATTCGACCAATATTCTAATTCGAGATTGGTTTATACTTGGATAAATCAGATTGAGACTTGGAACACTGAATGTCAGCAGGCTACCGTGAAATATGGAGGGATTGAAGTAATGGGTGGTGCGCTGTCTGGTTTGGAGGGAAATCTGAGCTGATTCTTGTTGACAAGCGGCTAAATGGTCCAAAATACTGTCAAATATTAGAGAAAGGTCTACCACTGTTTGAAACCAGCCAGGTTGACAAGAATGTCTACCGTTTTCAAGTAGATGGAGCGCCATTTCATATGAGCAAAGTAGCAAAGGCCTGGAAGGAATCGCAAGGAATCAAGTCACTGCCATGGGTAACCCTAAATCCTGACATGAATCCAATAGAGCACGTTTGGGAAAAAACTTGACCGAAGACTTCGAGAGCGTGCAATCAAAATCACGTCAGTGGCAACCCTTAAAGAAACATGGCTAAAGTAAGGGCAAAATATGGATCAGACGATTGTTGATAACTTGATCAAATCCATGAAAAGTCGAATATAAGCACTGAAATTAGTAAATGAAGGACCTACTTCATACTAGTTCCAAATACTGTTTATTTATGTTGTGTTGGTATTATGTAATTAAATTTTTAAATTGGACGTAGTTTATTTCTCCTGGCTACTAAACATTTATATATATATATATATATATATATATATATATATATATATATATATATATATATATATATTGATTGATGTGAGTTTGTGACTTTGGGTTTAAAGCTATTTGCGATCGTCAAACTTATAAATTTTTGATTTATATATGGTTGCGTATATTGGTGTTTTTATGATTGTGGGAGGAAAAATTGTCGTCGGAACGCCACTCATACTTACGCAAACATACATATCCGCACCTTCACTCATTGAAGCTCACACAAACATATATGAACAGTGTGGGACTGGGAATCCATGTGTCGTTGCGTACATACGTACGCAATTGGTCGCTGTATTCAATGTTGGATTGTGTAGCGAACATCTTTTGTCAGTTTCAGTGTCAACGCGCAGACCGTACGTCTATTTTGTCAGTTTGTCTGACGATTGCAAATGGCGTGAAACCCTGTATCACAAACTCACATCATTCCAACTATATATATAATGCAAGACTCTCTCTGTGTGTTTATCTAAAAAATAAATATGCTTAAATTCACCTTCATCCCTGCCGTTGACAACGGCTTAGTAGTAGAATCCCGAGTGACGGCAATTCAGTCGGGTTTCGATCCTAGCTAGAGGCAACCGGACGTCTAGCCACACTGATGAGCTGTGATAGAGCGAAACAGTCTGTCATTGGATGACTATATATATATATATATATATATATATATATATATAAAACGAACTCGAATATATATATATATATATATATATATATATATATATATATATATAAATAAAAAAAAGAAATAAAGGACAGTAAGATATATAACCCAGTGTTCTTATAGATATTTTTATCTTTACAAAATAGTGCTCAATGTAAATTTACAGAGCTTAATAATATAAATTAATTGATTTAAAATATGTTTTTTTTCGCTACAAAGTTCTAACCATGTTTCAAAAATGGAAGCTAAAAGCTTCGAATTTAATTTTGTAATTCAATTAAATACATTAGTTCAATTTCATCCTCAAGCAAATTTTGGAGTATATATATTATACCTTTGAATGTTATATGTATACGTATTATACCTTCGAATCTTACACACACACACACACACACACACATATATATATATATATATATATATATATATATATATATATACATATAATATATATACATATGCTATATATATATATATATATATATATATATATATATATATATATATATATATATATATTATACCATCGAATCTTATATGTATATATATATATATATTATACCGTGGAATCTTATATATATATTATACCTGAATTTTATATATATATATATATATATATATATATATATATATATATATATATATATATATATATATATATATATATTATACCCTCGAATCTTATATATATATATATTGTGTGGTTGAGTGTTTTTTTCTTCAAATTTTCTCATCCACCTAAAAGGAAGCCCAAAAGCATAGAGTACATATGAATGTCTAGTTATTGAA